AACAGTAATATACATATATATCTGTTATATTGGATCATTTAAATATATACTGAAACTGATTGAATTCTCTGTGGTTGTCCGCTACCGCTGGTTTTCAATAAACTACTTCTGCCAAAATAGTAAAAAACTACTTCAACCTGATATCTTAGCTTATAAATATTATGCATTATATGTATATCAATCCTTATCTGTAGTCTTCGATTGCAATTGGACTTATAATCTGTTAATGGCTTTCAGTATGACAATGTTTCAATAAAATATCAAAAAAGTATTGAACACATATATTGTGATTTTGACTTTCATACACTGAATGAAGATGGAAGAGCTTAGTAACTTTTTATAGATAAGATTTGATTAAGAAAGATAAGCCACAATATTTTAACAACTACCAACTGTTTTATAACTGTCATGTAGCAGTACATGAAGTATTCCTACTGTTAATGATGAACTGAATAGTTCACTGTACAGTAAGCAATTACAGCGCTCCTAGAATTTCATATATTTAACTTAAACAATTTTTTAATATTAATTTTTTCGAAAAGAAAATATTTTTTTGTGGCGAAAAAAAAATATTTAAAAGTTAAAAGGGTTTGCTTAAAAATAAAAAGACAACAACAAAAATTTAGTTAATTTTATTGAAATATGGCTGATCATATAACGCTGTTGTATTGTCAACTACTTATCATCAGTGATCTTAGGAAATATTCTGATTTCTTTTTAATAAGTTTATGGTCTGTATATAATTTTTATTGAACATATTCATATTGTATCACACAATATAGTTTTTTTTTTGTATATAACAATATGTTTTTATTGAATCGCTTTTACTTAAATCCTAAGAATAAATTTTATAATCTTAAAAACTAATAACATTATATTAGAAATTATTTCATATATACATACTACAAAGGAAACTCTGCAGCATCTACTGTATAATTGCCCGGCTCTCTCGAGAACTCGACAAAACTACTTGGGGGCTGTCAGTTTTACAGGACTGGAACACATACCTGAGGTTTTTGTTGGAATCCTAATAAGTTTTGCTAATGAAACGCGCATTCTAAGTGATGCATACAATCGATAAAGTAAGACACTGATTTGGTATCGGAATGGACCTTAATGGTCCACTAAAAGATGATAAAGAAGTTTAATTTAATAATGACACTTATTCCAATAAATACAATCATATGGTCGAGTATATTCAAAAACGTTGCGATTTAATCTTTAATAAAGTCATCATGTCTATAGTTAGGTTATGTGCTGCCCATTTTTGTTCTCAACTAAAAATATTATAAATTTAAAATAAATTTAATTTAAATTGGAAATTAAAACATGAAATCACAGTAAATACTCTGAATTCTGAAAAACTTTCGTAGGTAATCCTCGTAACTTCCCACAAAGTTGATAATATTTAACATTTTACTCAATTTTTTTAAAATACAACTGCCAGCTACCTTGGTATATGTTTCTAATCATCAATATTCGGTTAAGGATAATTGACTTTTCTTTATATATATTGTATAATAATTTAAAAAATTTATGACGAATTTTCCTACCTTCATGGGTTCAACTTGCTACGTATAACCAAATACCGTCACTATGAGATTCAGAGCAGTAAATGTACAGGCTATATCTAGAACCGGTTAACTTTCAAAAAATAGACGACTTGGCAATTTTTAAATTAATATTAAATAACATCTAAATATGTATATATCTGAAAGTAGACTTAGATATTCATTACTTATTCTTCTACAAATCTTATACAATGAAACACTGCTGAGAAGTTTAAAAGTATCATCGCATATGGGGACGCGTACGAAACTAGAATTTGTGGACATATTTCCAATATTGTTTTGTTCCTAATTGGTCAAAATTTACATTATTATTGAATAAAAAGTTATATGTATTAATTTTAATATGGCATCACTTTATTTCCCCAAGTTATGGGTCACATTTATATCCAAATAGAGCAATTTTGTTATAAGTTTTTTTAGTTTCCCGATCTACAAGAGACTGAATTTCATTAAATTTCAGTGAACATAACGTTTTAAACTTTCAGGGATAAAAAAAATTGGTCAAATTTTTTAGGAAATAATATTTTTAAATTTGGTCTCTTAAATCTAAAAAACTGAGTATAAGAATACAATGTTATTCGAATTTGTCTAAATAAAATTTGTCAGATGTCGTGTTGTTTCTATAAAAAATTTGGATCCTCTCACTCTTAGCTTATATCATTTATTATTTATTGCATTATGTGACATATTTTGGCTTTAAAATATTTTTTTTAGAAAAATATTATAATTATTGGTTAAAAATATAAACATCGCGTGCCAATCTCCTGCCCTGTTTACTATTGTTCTCTTTTTCTTCCATTGAGTGTTTTCAGTTTTTCATATTCTTTATGCACATAGTATAGGAAGGAAATATGAAGTTTCCAATGCTGTTAGAAACAGTCAAGCTGATATTGGACAACCTAATTATAATGCTAAACGTACTGTTCATCTAGACAAATCGACGTAAACGAAAGTATTTTTAACACCAAAATTGTGAACATCTTTGAATGAATTTAAATCCCAACAGTTGGAAAATAATTACAGAGAGGTGTAGATAAAAATATTTTATCATTGTTTCTTATAATAATAGATGTAATACAAATATTTTAAATAAAATTGCCTTTTAAATATCTTAACCCGCTGCACAATATATCTCTATTTATAGATCTATTCGGGTTGCACTGCGACCTTCTTAAGTTTGAAAGCTGTTTCATTATCATCAAATCCCTCTTTCTCAAAAATACAGACAAGTGTTACTTCATTCGAGTTCGCTAACTTAGATATAAGATTTGTTATATATTTTATATCTGTCTATAATATATATCCTATATTTCGACTCTCTTTGAGAGTCAACATCAAGGTCAGGATCGAATATAAATTAATATTAATGAAATTTATATCTAAACGTTATGACTTTGATTGCGTTGTCTATATTGCACTGGTACTTTAGTACTTTTAAATCAAAATTTATTTCAGCGATAAAAAATTGGACAGATTTTGTGGGTACATTATTATATTTTAAATAAGATTATAATTTAAATTACTTCAAATTTGAGTTGTGGTTGCTGGTGGAATATTAAACCGGTCACCATGGACTGCGATATCGGCTTAACCAAATGGTTCTGTCCAAATAGATAGATTGTCGACTCTTCTTAGAAGCAGACGACAATCTATTCCAGTCACATTCTCTGTGACTGCCTAGCCATGATCTGGGCCAGGAGGAGGTCACTGGGTCGAGAACTACTTTCCCAATCTGATATTAGGAGGTGCTCAACGCTTGACATTCTGGCTTTCATTTAAAAGGCGGAATGTCTTCTGTCCGGTTAAAGTCTGTTGCAGTACAAAAAGATTAACTATGGTCACAGTCTTCCGCTTCGTTGAGAACTGGTACCCTGGTTTTTTCTATGTTCTATATATTTATATTCTATAAACTACAGCTTAATTTGGAAATCCAAGTTCAATAAATTGAAAGTTAACATTTGAGGTTGCCTATTTTTATTTCAGTTATTTTTTTGCAGAGACGTCTGTTATGCATATTTTTACTTACTATATGAACAGTACTTTTTTGTGTTATTTTATAAAGGAGCTAAGCAAATATTACTCTACAGTTTCGCTAATCACGGTTTAGAAAAGCTGAACTATATTATATATTATTGTTCATATTTCCAATTCTAATTTTTTAAAGCTAATTTATTTTGGCGAAAGCTACGCTTCTTATATATCCTAAGACCACTGATGATGAGTATTTGACAATACTCGAAATAGTGTTGTATGTTCCACCAATTTTCAATAAATTAACTAAATTGTTGTTCTTGTCTTTTGTTTGCTATTCGAATCCTTTTAACTTTTAAAAATAGCTTCTTTGTCGTCGTAAAAAGCGTAGCTTTCGGCAAAATAATTAACTTTAACATATTATTAAATATTAATATGGAGTTATGGACTCCACAACACTACCTTCATTTAAGATACATGTGAATAAGTTATTAGAAAATATTATGATACTTCCAGTTCAGTGCTACAGTGTTTTATTATATCTTTGACAATACATGAAGCAGCTGCTTGATCAATAAAGTAAACATTACTTACTTCTGAAAATTTTAGAATTAAATTAAATGTAAAAATTTATAAAAAATGATAAATCAAAAATTAAAAAATTCACAAAACATGCGTACATACACTTTCTTGGGTTTGATAAAAAAAATAAACTCAAATTTGCAAAACATGTATGAAAAAATTTCGGTTTGTTGATTTATTACCGATAAAGGGTCCCATTAAGAGTCAGAGACAGTTTTTTTTTCGTTGTAAATTTAAATGCCTTGAAATTTAAAATATTATTGCAATCATCATCACTTATGAGCCACTCAAATGTTAATCCTATAAAATTATCGCACCGGTACTCAGCCATTATCAAGGGTGACGAACCCATAAGTATTTAGTTTTAAACCTATTTTTAGAGGAGGGTTGAGAGGCTGTTTGGTGACACAAAAAACTAAAACGAATTAATACATGGAAATGAATAAAAAAATGTTCATGTATACTCGTATATAGCTTAATTAAAATATAAATTGTTAAATGCTTTGGTGCTTCACAATGGCGATGTGTAAAAATTTAGCTCTCACAGAATCTATTAATGAATCTTAATGTGTGTGGAATTAGAACCTCTTGTTTTCAAACAAAACAAATCGAAGGTCTCTGGTATTTAATAATAAAATGACAACATTGAAATCATCCCTCATAACTGATAACGCAGTTTTTGTATCTGAAGTGTGGCAAATATTTTGTCAGTTACTGTGGTAGCATTTTGCCACGCGAGCCCGCATGGGATCGAATTTTTCAGAATCAATCCTTGCGTGCATATCAAGTATCATCGATGTTCAAATTACTTTCACAATATGTCTGAGACTGTAACATATAATGATTCGGTAATTATTATCCCCTGCAGTGTAAATAACCGTTAACCAGCCTACAAACAGATTTCAATTTCAAATCATCAACTGCAATTTAAGTATTTGAAGAAAAAAAATGACATTTTTGATTTTAAAATTGTGGAAAAAAATGGTGGCCTTTAATCCTTTAAATTTGAAATAAAAAAAGTTAAATTTGACAATAGGCTTATGTAAAAAGTAACCAAAAACATAATTTTAATAATACGTGCAACATTCGACCCCTTTTGTGGATGATTTATTGTTTAATTTTCAAGTACCGGAAAAAAATTTCATATAGTACTCTTATTTTTACTCTTATTTTACTAATCCTATTAGTAACAACATTATCAATAATATTTGTTTGAGATAATCTTGAAAAGACCTCAAAGACCTCATAAAGCTCCAAAATTGAATCTTAGTCGGACTAGCATTTTTACTGTAGTTAAAAATGCTTACTATAATATATAGAATATTTCGATAACTTTACGTTATTCCAAACGTTTTATTTAAGTTGGGTTAGCACCTTCACTCTATTCTTTGGATGGATCTGTTAGTGTCCTACTATGAGTGTTAGAAGATCTTGAAGCTTTAATATGTTATAAGTCTAATTTGCACACTTAGAAAATTAATTTGGTGCATTACTCAGATTTTAACTAAATCTCACGTTAAAATGTTCTATAAATATACTACACATCATTTTGGTTTAACCATACTAGCTAAAATTATCACTAGACAAAATGATCAAGTCAATTCAACTAGTATGTTAGAGCATATTTTTCTGAGTGTTACCAGAAATGAGTGCAACTATTTTACTGAGAAACTAAATACATCTATTTTAGTTGGTTGAATTGGACGTATCTCTAGGAAGTATTATTATGGCAGCCTACTTTTTAGAAGGATTTAGTAATTTAACTCATATGTGTTTTAACTCATATGTATGTTTTGGCAGATTTGAAGTTTGTTAATATTTTTATTGGTGAACTTTTAATATGCTGCAAATCATATAATATTGACTTATCATGAATGTGTGATAATGTCATATTAACTTTATTATTGACATGTGAGATGTGTAAATATTAAGCAACTATCGTCAGAGAAAGGACTCTTATGATACACCGCTTTACAATTCTTTTGCTGTTAATTTAAAGTCATTGATTCTAAAAGAGACTTTTTGTGTTTTAGAAAGTTGGTTAAAATTTTAATGACTTTGTTATGTCAAGCTTACTACAACCTATGGATTCTGTGCTCACTTAAACCCACTTAAATTTCTATACTTGCAACACGGAGGCTAGTTGCAGTTAAGTGGTGTGATTTGTTTAAAGCCAGTATTATTCGAAATAATAAAGCCAATATTCAAAAAGCATTCTTTCAATTATTTTATTCGAAGGTAGTAATATGCTGATTGGGTTTTAGTTTTGCGGCAAGATGAGTTTATTTCTCGGTTTTAGGATAATGGCGGTAATTGTTTATTTAAGACTTTTGAAAACGTGTTTAGTGGAGTATTGCATTTGCACTATTACTAACACCCAATTCCTTCTATACAATTGTAAACAATAAAATTGATTATAACATAACACATATGGATTTAAAATTAATGGAATTATATGGATTATTTTGTCTGTATTTTGTTTGGACTATATTGTCTGTACATATATAAAATTAAGGATTACATCACATCAATGCTATATATGCTTAGTCTACACGAATATTAACTAGTTTCACATCCATATAGGATACTTCGAGGATCCATGTAGTACATAACTACATATTTTACAACCACATATATTAGATCCACTTTCATTAGATATTTACCATGCAAACTCTAGAAATAGGGGCAGTATCTAAACACACTGCTTTCACAAATTTTGTAAAAAATATTGTCTTTATTGCATAAAGTATTGGGCGTTTTACTAATCACTGCAATTTAAAGTACAATCTTATAACTGTAAATTAATTTTTCTGGTATTTGTTTTTTTTTCGTGACAGATGACAGTTTTTTTGATTATTGATGCATATTTTATTAAGATTGATAATTTTCATACAATTTGCCTTTTAATAAGGAAGTATGTATCATCGACATGTAAAATATGATGAAATGATCTATTGTTTTTGATATTATATGCTGATTGGCTTTAAGATTATCTTGACTGTTCTCGGCCAACATTGAAAAAGTCGTTGGAAATTTGAATTTGTTTCAATAAAACGGATATGATGTCAAATTCAAAAAATTGTTATTTTTTGGTTAAGGTGCGCTGAGAGTCGTAATAATTTTGAGTAGCTTCAATACTTCTGAAATGATGACTTCGATATGAATTAAAACAGCGACCTGGGCAGCAAAAAAAGTTGGAATTTGTTATCCTAAAATCACCTAAAATCATTGGGACTCATTCAGAAGCATGGTAATTAAGTACCATACCAGTTAAAGCCGAAAAGAAGTCGAAAAGAGAAGTCGAAAAGGGATTTTGCATGCCCAAAACATTGCTAGAATGCTATGGAAAAGATTATTTTTGCATAGAATTCTTACACTCAGAAAAATATGTTC